GAGTTCCCTCAACGGAGGGGACCCAGAATACCATCTCCTTTCTGTCGTAGTAGGGTTTAAGCATGTTCACGTGAATTGTCTTAGGTTTCCTGCCCTTAATACCCACTACATAGGTCACATCATCCAGTCTGTCCAGGACTGCATGAGGACCTTCCCAAGCAGCTTGCAGCTTGTCTGTTTTTAGTGGCAGGAAAACCATCACATTCTCACCCCGCTCAAAGGTACGTAAGCGGGCCTTCTCATCATACCAGGACCTTTGCTTCTCCTGGGCCTGTCCCAGGGAGTCCCGTGCCACCTTCATCATGTCAGTCAGTTTCTGACGGAAGTCAAGCACATACTCTACCACGGAGGTCTTTGTGGAAGCGATCTTCCCTTCCCACTCCTCTCTCACCAAATCGAGAGGACCTCGCACTCGCCTCCCGAACATCAGCTCGAAGGGCGAGAACCCAGTGGACTGGTCAGAGACCTGGGGGGAAAACTCTCTACTCAACTATTCCTTGGCTGTGTGCCCATTGCTAACGAAGCTAAACTCCCTCATGGGGTGTTGTGAAGGGCTGTGAGGCCCTAAGATGCCTCCAGAGATCATAAAATCACAGAAAATTCAGGTTGCAGGGACCTCAGGAGTCATCTAGTGCAACCCTCTGCTACAAGTAGGACCAGCCCCAACTACATCATCCCAGCCAGGGCTGTGGCTAGCCAGGTCTTCAAAATCTGCAAGGATGGAGACTCCACCACCTCTCTGGGGAGCCTGTCCCGGTGCTTTCCTACCCTCCAAATGACAAGGTACTTCCTAATATCCAACCTCAACTTTCCTTGCTGCAGCTTGAGCCCATTGCTCCTTGTCCTGTCATCTGCCCCCACTGAGACCAGCCCAGCTCCATCCTCTTTGCAGCCCCCCTGCAGGGAGGTGAAGGCTGCTATTCAATCCCCCCTCGGTCTTCTCTTCTGCAGACTAACGTAGATCTCAGGCAGGCTGGCACCTAACTCTGGACTGAAAGATGTCCGCATAGCCCTCAACCTTGCCAGGGCAGGTCTCTCTGCCGCTCTTAGCATCCCACAAAGTAAGCTATCACCTTCAAAAGCCTCTCTGAACAAGTTAGTCTATAAGGTGCCACCCTGCCCTGCCATCTGCCTGACTGCAGAGCAGCATGGCAAACCAACCTAATGGCACTGGTAGGGTTTTGCCATTACGTTCCACCCCAGCACTGGCTGCATTTTAGCAAAGGGTGCAATACTTATGCTTCTCATCCTGCACCAACATATCCTTCGCTGTTTAAACCTGCTAGCTGATTCAGGTTGACTGCAGAGGAGCTCTGCTGCTTCCTACCAGTGAGTAAGGATCAGGCAACAATCAATTCGGAAGCACCTGAGCCCTCTATTTCCTGAAAGATTAAAGATATTCCATAAATATAAATCAGAACTGCTACAAAGAGCGAGCAAAAAGAGTTACAATCAGACTAAAACCCTTTCCTCCTTCCCAAGTGGTGCGTTCTCCCTCTCGGTGGCATTTTTGCTTTTATTGTTGAAATGAAAGAAAATTCTATTTTCCCCCTATGTGAAATATGGACCTGCCTTTATTTCAGATCAATAGACGCTGGAATAAAATGAGCCCCAACCGAGTTATATTCCAGCATTTAAAAAAAAAAAAATCCTTCAAGAAAATCGTGTTTATTTCCCAGCCCTCCTTTAACTCCTGTGAACGATGGATCTTACTTGCTTTCTGTGAACCTGGGGCTATGTAATGCCACCTGAGGGGCCAGGTTTGGGTCCCAGTTCTACCAGTGTCAGTCAGGACTAGCCCCATTAGGTTGCATTGCATTTATCCTGAGACAAACCATTTTATTCTGGGATGAAGTGCAAGAGTACAGATGCCCGTTGTCCTTCTCTGCAGAAAAGGACCTGGGGGGACAGCGGACAAGAAGCTGGATATGAGCCAGCAGTGTGCCCTTGGTGCCAAGGAAGCTAATGGCATCCTGGGCTGCATTGGTAGGTGTTACCAGTAAGTCCAGGGCAGTGATGCTTCCCCTCTATTCAGCACTGGGGAGGCCACATCTGGAGTCCTGTGTCCAGTTGTGGGCCCCCACTGCAGAAAGGATGTGGACACACTGGAGAGAGTCCAGTGGAGGGCAATGAAAATGGTTGTGGGCTGGGGGACAGGACTGGTGAGGAGAGGCTGAGGGAAATGGGCTGATTGAGTCTGCAGAAGAGAAGACCGAGGGGGATTGAATAGCAGCCTTCACCTCCCTGCAGGGGGGCTGCAAAGAGGATGGAGCTGGGCTGTTCTCAGTGGGGGCAGATGACAGGACAAGGAGCAATGGGCTCAAGCTGCAGCAAGGGAAGTGGAGGTTCTATATCAGGAAAAACCTTCTCATGAGAAGGGCAGTAAAGCGCTGGCACAGGCTAGCCAGAGAGATGGTGAAGTCTCCATCCTTGGGGGTTTTGAAGACCCAGGTAGAGCCTGTATAAGCAAAGCAGAATGCAGCCCATGAAGGGCTATCTGGAAAGCCACGGCCCCTCGCTCACAGGGCAGAAGCAAGACTGCACCAAACCAAACCGCTCCCTTTGGCTGCAGCTGCTTTGTTCGGCTGCCAGGGAAGTGCGGAGGCGACAGAGCCGGAGCTGAGATCCCCGTCGCTGGCTGCCGTTCGGACGGAAAGGAAACCTGAGAGTCTGACCACACAGCCCTTAAAAACACAGGCCTCCCCGCAGCCTCTGCCTGAGGCAGACCGAGGGGACCTGGGAGGACGACAGCGCACCAGGCAGGCCCGGGGAGCTGGCGATGGTGCAGAGTCGATGCTGGCGTGTGCCCTGTTATGTGCGTCTGCCCGGGGGAGCAGGATAAGGAGACAGCGAAGCTTCCCCTGGTTTCATCCACCATAAATGAGCGCATCTCCCTCAAAGCAAGGGGGTCCTGTCCTCAGCTGGCAAAGACCAGCATAGCTGCATGGGCCACATTCTCAGCAGGTGTAAATTGGCATGGCTCCATTGACTTGGGGTGTAATTAAGCAAAGGGACATTTAGGCTGCATCTCTGGAAAGCTTCCTCAGCGGGGACTCGTTAGGCCACATAGACTCTCAGAAAATTCAGGTTGGAAGGGAGCTCAGGAGGGCACATCCAGTCCAACCCCCTGCTCCAAGCAGGACCAGCCCCAACTACATCATCCCAGCCAAGGCTTTGTCTACCTGGGGCTTCAACACCTCCAAGGATGGAGACTGCACCACCTCTCTGTGTGACCTGTTCCAGTGCTTTCCTACCCTCCGAATGACAAGGTATTTCCTAATCTCCAACCTCGACTTCCCTTGCTGCAGCTGGCGCCCATTGCTCCTTGTCCTGTCATCTGCCCCCACTGAGAGCAGCCCAGCTCCATCCTCTTTGCAGCCCCCCTGCAGGGAGGTGAAGGCTGCTATTCAATCCCCCTCGGTCTTCTCTTCTGCAGACTCAATAAGCCCATTTCCCTCAGCCTCTCCTCCCCAGTCCTGTCCCCCAGCCCCACAACCATTTTCCTTGCCCTCCGCTGGACTCTCTCCAATGTGTCCACATCCTTTCTGTAGTGGGGGCTCACAACTGGACACAGGACTCCAGATGTGGCCTCCCCAGTGCTGAATAGAGGGAAGAATCACGTCCCTCGATCTGCTGGCACCGCTCCTCCCAATGCAGCCCAGGGTGCCGTTACCCTTCTTGGTGACAAGGGCTGTTCAGCTTCTTGTCCCCTGCCCCCCACCCAGGTCTTTTTCTTCTGCCCAGCCAGTCACTCCCAGCCTGCACCAGTGCAGGGGATTGCTCCCTCCTACATGCAGGACTTTGGACTTAGACACTGCAAAGGTTCAGAAACGAGCCCTAAGAGTGACTCAAGTTCTCACGTGTGTTTGCTTCCTTGCAGCCCATGACAGTGCGGGGCGGCGCTTGGGGCCTGCTGCTAGGGATCTGCATGCTGCTCTCCTGCCACCTGGCCCAGAGCAGAGCAGGGGAGGAAGAGGGCTCAGATGCTGCATCAGGGTTTGTGATGGACCATGCAGGGCTCAGCCCTGAGGACACCAGGCATCAGCCCATGAGCCCCAGCCCTTGCGGCCTCACCTTCCATGCCCCAGACCCCTGCAGCTCGAGTGCCAAGACGTCCTCACCGGCTTCTCTGGAAGAGCTGGACCATCTCAAGAACCTTCTCCGGGACACCAGCGGCAGGCTCAAGGGCCTTCAGAGAGCAGCCGGCGTGGAGGCCAGCCAGCCTGGGTACCAGGACATCATTTCAGAAGTGCTGCCTGGCATCAGAAGAGCAAACCTGGAGTTCTCTGAGAGCCTAGGCAGGATCACGAGAGAGCTGGACGAGCACGTGGCCCGAGCTGACCCTCTCCATCTGACGGAGAAGAGACAGAGGTAAGCACTGCTTGGCCGGCACCCAGGGTTGAATCAGAAATTAAGGGCTGAAAGGGCTCAAAAGATCACTGAGATTTGCATGCATCTCTCTATGGCTTGAGTGGGGCTACAGTGGACTCCCATTATTAGTGAGATTGCTGCAAAGGGGACACGTATCCCAGATCTCTCTCCCTTGCACACTCACCAAACAAGCCACTGGGTCGGTCCTCCACGTGCTGAGCCTCCTGGCTGAGACGCAGGAGCCCAGTAGTCCAGATGGACCTTGGTCCTGCTAGCTCACGCTGGCTCTAGGGTCCTTTTGGCATCACTAAAGCTGCTGGGATTGCATGGACCACCCTGGAAACCCTGCCCTTGACATGTGCCCTTCCTCCCTGCTCTGTGCCCAGGCTGAGGAGAGGCCTCCAGGAGATGGACCAGATGCTGCGGGTCACCGGCCACCTTGCCAAGCAGCTGGATGACACCTCCCAGGACCTCCATGGGGCCTTAGTCCAGCACTTGGATAGAGCAGTGGCCCTCATCAGCCACAGATCCTGAGGTCCTGGTCACGAGGAAAGAGGACATCCTCCAATCTAGGTGTCCGCAGGGCTTTGCTTGCATGTATCTGCAAGGCCGGGTCCTGGGAGGCACTGAACCTCTCCCCGGTACTGGAGACCCAGCTCCAACCCATACGTCCTGCATCAGCAGAAGCAGCCCACGCCTGGTGACCACCGTTTCCTGCCACTCCCATGGGGGTAAATATGAAATAAGGACATGGGACCCAGGAGGCTTATTCCAGATTGACACCTGGGGATTAATCATTGCCTGGCCTTCAAGTCCACCCCGAGCCCCCAATTGCTCTCCATGCCTGAGCAGCGTAGCTCTCAGCTGCAGCTAGCATGTGTCCTCTCTGGAGCTTGACGCCGCAGGAAGAATAGCCACGGTCTCGGTGCCACGGTGAAGGCTTGGCTAGATTTATTGCCTATGAAGCATCTTCTCATTAGTCCACAAGGTACAAGCTGGATGCCCACCACCAAGTATTAACATGACACATGTATTGCCTATGATGCATCTACTCTACCAGGTGCAAGCTGGATGCCCGCCACAAGGTATTAACACAGCCCACGTATTGGGTTCCCCCAGCCAATGCAAGGTTGCAAGGTTTGCAGCCCTCCTTTCCTACAGTGATTGCAATACATCCCCCTTGACATCAGACACATCCCGTACCTTGCAGTTAAATCGTCCCTTGTACTCCCTGTACGTCCCCGCCCTGGAAAATTCCTCATGGATGTGCATGTGCTAGACCATCCAGTACCCACCTCCCCCCTCAACCTCACAATGAATCTGCACAGCTGGATTGCAGAAGCAGTTTTGCCTATTGGTCACAGCTCTGCCAAAGCCTTTCTGTGAGCAGTAGCGACCGGCCCCTTCTCTGCACAGGCTCCAGCTATACGACAGCAGGTAGCAGGACCCAACTAGCCCGTAGCATCCAGGCAAGGATCAATGCTGCAGCCCGGCCTGCTCTTTAAGGGCAGGGCTGTGTACAGAGGACATGGGCAGCTCTAGGATTTTGAGAAGTGGGGTGCAGATGCAGTGCAGCAGCATCACTTATAATACAGCGCCCATTTTTCTCCAAGGAAAAAACAATTAGAAGCTTTACTAATATGCTGAGGGCCTGGGGCTCTATTATTCAGTTCAAGATTGAAGTAAAAAAATATATATAACTTTGTTAGAACATTCATTAACTTGCTATAGCCTATACTATGTATAAAAACCCCACAGCAAATGAAGCAAAAGTAATCAAAAGATGCTTTATCATTAGTCCTGTAGTCATTAGACTTAAATGTACATCTTTCTTCAGATTCATAAAGCAAACTAACCTTCATGAAACTCTTGACCAAGCTTTCAGTGCTTCACTGACAGTTATTTCCGCCCCTGAGTCCCTGTGTACCTGAGTTAATGTTTTTACCTAGCATTAAAAGCAGTCTGAGGACCTGTGAAATAGGAGCTAGATTACCAGGAACAGCAGCAGGCAGCCAAAATGCAGGAGAAAGGGTAACTTCACCAGTGCAACATCAAAAATATTTTAAAAAGACGAGAGGATCATTAGCACCTGTGGAAAGAAGAGTTTAAAAGGAGTCAGGTGTATGATCATGAGCCAGGAAGTCGAGTCAATCCCTCACTGCTGCCTGAATAGAAATACTGCTGTTGGTTTTAAACTTTGGGTGCAGCAGGGTTTAAAACTTGGGGGGACGAGAAAAGTCAAGGGGGGGGGGGGGGCGGGAGCTGCACCACTGCACCCCTCTGGATCTACGCCTGGCAGAGGGCACTTGTAACAGGGTGTCTGTCCCTTTAAGAGGGGACAGCCAGCCTTGTTGAATAATGCAGCTATGGGGGAGCAAGCATCTTACTGGGAGCTTAAAAGCCATGGAGCCTATCCCACAGCCCCATACAGCACCCTGTGGTTGGCAGCAGCAGTAGCACAGGGCAGCCTGGGGTCCTGGGGCAGGGTCTCGTTTTGCACGCCATTGCCAGAGCAAGCTGTGATCCGCTCCCCCCCATGGAGAGCAGAGCAAGGGGCCTTCCACCCCGGGGTGCATGCCTTTTCCTCTGGCTGCCATCCCCCAGATAGAGCTTGGCCCTGGGGGCATGCTTGGGCAGGGGGCTGCAAGGCATGGCCATGGCCCTGGAAGCACACCTGGTAGCAAGGAAGGATACTGCCACACACGTGTCAGCTCGTGTTTCTACCTCCCACCCTTCACCGGCCACTGGCTGTGGACCTGCACCCAGCTCAGCAAGCCAAGTGCCTGGGGCTTCACGCCTCAACCCACTCAAGCAACTGAGGCATGCATGGGCACTGGGGTGCTGGGGGGCCAGGCTGTGGTGGGTACGGCCTCTGGTTATGCCCGTATCTGGGCTCCAGCAGTGGCAGCCACTCTTTCACTGCAAGGGAAGGCGGGAGATTCATCTGTCCTGCGCTGAGCACCAGGGAGCACCCTGACCACCCTGAGAATACCAGCCCTCACATGCATAGGCATATGTCCATGAACACACAGGCATATGCACACATGTGTGCACACACGTGCACACATCCATGCACATGGTCACACATACACACATGCACCTGCCCATGCGCATGCACATCTATATACACATGCATGCACACACAGAAACATGCATGTTCACACATGCACATATCCATGCACATACAGACACATATGCACATGGGCACATATGCACATGTCCATGGGCACACAAACTCATATGCACATACATTCACACAAACATGGGCATATCTGTATACACAGTCACACATATACACATATGCACACACGCATACATGTGCAGTCCCATGCATGCACATACACATATGCGTACACATGCACAAACACAAAAAGTGTGCACACACATAGCTATGCGTATTCCAGATATACACATGGTGACAAATGCATATGTGCATACCCACATAAACACAGGTGCCCACATGCATATACACACATATGCATGCACGTGCATGCCCACACACGCGCATCCCTTCACATTATGCATGCATGCACAAGCAGGAACACACACAAACACATGCACTGACGCATAGACATGCAAGTCTATGTGTACATATACACACACATGCACACACATTATTTATCATGACTTGATTCCCATGGCGAGCGGGACACAAGCTCACACCAAAGACAGACGCCTCCCTGTCCCGGTATCCCACACAGGCAGATGCAGTCTGTCTGGGGTGAAGCCCCACACACCATGTTTGGGCTTTCCCTTGGTGGCAGAGAATCACAAAATCACAGAAAATGAGGGTTGAAGGGAGCTCAGGAAGGCACATCTAGTGCAACCCCCTGCTCCAAGCAGGACCAGCCCCAACTCCATCATCCCAGCCAAACATAGTAGGAATGAGGCAGGTCATAGAGAAATGGGGCTGGAAGCAGCCTCCAGAAGTCACGTCTAGTCCGACCCCCAACTGGGGCTTGGGTGAGGGGCTTTGGACAAGGACCTAAGTCACACGACAGCCAGGACCTATCGAGCACAGGAGTGTGGGTCACGGCCTCTGCATCAGAACTGCCTGGACCCTAAATGCTGGTTGCAGGTGAGAGAGGATCGGGGAAAAACCCAGGCACGCCCCACTCACTCTCCCCTCCAGCCTCTGCCACCCTGGGACACAGGAGATGGAGCAACACAGACCCAGGTCTGACCCCATCAGTCCCTGGCATTTCTCATGTCCATATGACCTGCTGGGCCTGAAGGCCTGGGGGAGGCAAACGTGGAAGGGGCAGCGAGGTCGTATCCATCACACCCCATTGCCACCCACCGAGCATCTCCTCCATCCGCCCTTTGGTGACGGTCCAGCTAATGCATGCTCCTCTCTGCAGGAGAAGCAGCTGCAGCCGTTCCCCAGAGAAGAGCAACCTCCATGGAGCAAAGCTCCTCGCCTTGCCCAGGCTTTGCTCCCCCTCCAGCCCCTCCTGCTGCAGCCACTTGCTCCTTCGCCTGGCAGCAGCTCCTCCCTGCATCCCCGCCTGTGTCGTCACCAGCTGGAGTAAGAGCTGGGGGGGATCTTTGCGGGAGCTCAGTCTTGCTAGTGCTGCTTGCCGGGCAGGAGCCCTCAGCGTGGCCAGTGGCCTGTTGGTGGGGGGAGATCCAGGCTGGCAACCCCCAGCAGAAGTGATGGGGTGTGTAGTGGGGGTGGCATGGACCCAGTGAAGCTCTCCTTCCCCATCGCCCAGAGCAACTTGATCTGCACAGCGCCAAGCACGACTCCGGCTGGACACGTTGCACCCGGCCTCATTGCTCTCTTAGCCGGTAAGAGGGGCTCCTTCTAATGGGGGCAGGTTTGCATGCTGGGAGGTGACGGGGATGGGGCTTTGCATCAGGGGGTGCAGCAGATCACCCCGCAAACTCAGCCAGGGGAAAGTTTTCCAGCCGGTGGGTGAAGCTCCTTTTAAACCCCGTCTGCCTCGCACAGAGAAGTCCGGTCAGTTGAAGGGAGCCCTTCAGGCCGCTGCCCGGATATCGCTGTGTGCCACCATCACTTCCCAGCTCAGCCACGGTGGGAGGAAAGTGTGTGCAGCCGTCCCGTTTCCATTCACCATCTCCCGGGAGTGTGACATGCGTGTCTCCGAAACGGAGCGCTGGCGGCACGGCTGCCTTCCCCGGCTGCCCCTCCGTAGCACTGTAGGACCTGCCTCGCAGGGGCTGCCAGGAGGGATTTACACACATGCATGGAGGAGGCTGACCTCAGCAGAAATACACACACACACACACACACACACCCCTGGTCTAAGTGGCAATGTATTCGTTCACATGCACATGCACATGGAAACCCGCTCTAAGTAGCAATAGATTCACAGACCGGAAGGCAGCTCTAACAAGCCACGGTGTGTAATTAGATCAGTGCAAGGATGTTCTCAGGGCAGGTTTTGATATGTGTAGCCCAACGCCTGTGTGCATGAGATACGCACATTGCACCTACCAATGGGGTATCCACACACCAGCCCACCCACTCGCACACATCCCCCAGCACAAAGTTACACATCGCACATTGACCCGCACACACAGTCCATTTACCAGTCACGAAGCAGGCATGATACGCTGTCACAAAACAGCTATCCACACACACGACACATGCCAGTCATGCAACACCCAAACACACATGTGTGCACATACATGCCAAGCCATGCATTGCCCATGCACATAGACACACCTTACACATGCTAGTTGCACAGCACCCAATGCACAGAAGTGCCTAGTCACATAGATACACATGACACATACAGTTCACACAACAAACACACACACACACATACACACACACCATGCCATGCATCACCCATTCACATGGGCACACATTACATTTACTAGTCACCCACCACCCGACCACGCACATGCACGCACACTCCCCATTCCCAGACACCCATTGCACATACTACAATGTGCACAATGCTGAAGCACTCAAGCATTCACATGTACACAAACACACACGCACACAGACGCACATGACACATGCCCCTAACACAGCACTCAGCCATGCACTCAAGCACAGACACACGCACACACTACATATATTAGTCATACAACACAAGCGTACACATTACTCATACACATAGACATACATGATGCACAATATTAGCACAATCACGTGCACACACAGGACACATGCACATACACACACCTCACATTTACACTTTGCTCAAGCATCTACACATACATTACACCCATCGAAGTCACACAGTACTTATTACACGCACATGCATGTTCATTTTACATACAAGTATCTGAGTGCACTCCCTCCGTGCTTCGTACCAGGGGCTGGATCTCCTCCCTTGTCTCTTTTACACGGCGGATACCCTGTCTCTGGTTATCTCAGTACAACTTTTCACCCTACAGTTGGTCTAAAATCCACAACTCCCTTCAGCCTCATGTTGTGCCCTGATGCCCACAGAGACGGCAGATGCTTCAGGGTCCCTGGCATTCATGGCTAATTCTCCCCCTTATATTTAGATTTCTCCTCCATCGCTAGGGGCACCGTCCATGTAATTTTCTTTTCAACACACCCGAGCCATCATTCCTCCCTCCTTTGTTTCCAAACCCTTTCGCCGCCAATGCATTAATCAGCGCAGCAGCAAGTGGACAGATGCGGGGAGGATAATGACCAGCTAACACAGTCCTCTTCCAAACACGCCAGCTAATAAACAACCCCCTTGGGAAGCTGATCATTTCCCAGATCAAGGCATCCTCATTATGTGCATTTGCTCGGAGAAAAATCGAGATCTTCCCTGTCTCTTCGGAGATGCAGAGGGTTGCGTGCTGCCCTGCTTCCTTGGGGCTGGAGGGCCTGCTTTGGGATCCAGTTCCCACGTGGCTGGGATCAGGGCGATAACCAGCTGGGCTGGAGGCTCGGATTCATTTGGAAAGCTGGTGAGAGAGACGGTGTGTGCATGGATGGAGCGGGCAGCCTTGGGTGCACCGATTCACCTCTGCTTTTTGAGCGGATGGGATCTGCTGGTGGGACCCTTGCTCCAGATTCAGCACCTGGTTGTTCTCCAAGCAGCTGGAGAATCCCTTCCCTCCCAAAGGGAAACAGCTGAAAACTTCCTTCACTGAAGTTGGAATAGACAGACAGACACATAGGCATGAGGCATGTACTAGGATAGATAAAAGAGAACAATAGAAAGAGGGGGTGTATGACGATAGATAGATAGATAGATAATATAAGGTGTGTACTAGGATAGATAAAGTGAGCATTAGAAAATGGGGATAGACAGATGAGGGTAGATATGCAGGCAGGCAGGCAGGCAGATAGATGGATGCATGGATAGGCAGACAGACGGATGGACAGGCAGATAGATGGGTGGGTGGACAGCCGGTCCTTTATTTCGGAGCTAAGTGATGCTAGCAGCCTCTCTGCGTTGTCCCCAGGGAACCAAATTTCCATGGTCCGAGGGCCTGCAGTGTCTCACTTGGAGGGAAGGCACCCGTTTTTCAAGGAACAAGCTGAAAGGCACCAGGCCAGATCCAGCCTGGTCCCCAGCTTGTTGCTCCAGGGGTGCAGGGGAGGTGGGAAGCTGCCTACCAGGGCTTCCCTTTGCGGGGGACTCCCCAGATGGCCTCAGCGGCTGTTTGCTGCCCCCTCCCAGCTGCTGGCATACTGGGCGTACTGGGGGATGTGCCCTGCAAGGATCTCAGCTAGCAGAAAGGCCTTCGGAGGCCAGCCCATTAGGAATAGGGTAGAGCTGAGGCTACTTTGATTTGTGCTGGGCCCTGGAGTGGAAAGCTGGTAGAAAGCCAGTTTCTCTCTCCATCCTCTCCACGTGCGGTGGGTCTCCTCGGGCACGGAAGAGGAGCTAGACCACTTGCACCATCCTTTCACGGGCTGAGGGCACCTGGTTTCTGAGGCCTCAGGGACCAGACCCCTGGATGGCATCAAGACCTTTGCGTTCCCTCCGCCCTTCCCTCCTCTCCCAGCTATTCCAGGGCAGGGTGTTTATCACCATGCATGATTTTTAGGCACTGAAGGCACTGTTTACACACTCCCAACACTATTCAGCCCATCCCAGCACACCTCGCAGGGGAAACTGAGGCACCACAGAGCTAAGCAACTTCTCCAGGGGTGCCCTAATGTTGCCCACAGTGAGAGCTGCTTTGCAGTGAGGATGACAGAGCTGTTTACTGGGACTGCAGTGATGCTGGCTCCGCTCCTCTCCCAGCCATGGTGCAAACCAGGTTACCACATCTGGCATCTCCTAGCTGCTTCTGCTGCTAGCAGCTGGGTGCTCTGCAGACACCCCACGGGGATCTCTGCTCCCTGCTCTGCTCCAGGGTCTCCGGGAGCTGGAACTGTCCCCCTTGCACTTGTGCTCCTCCAGTCACGGTATCTTGTAGGTAGACTCGAATCTGACCCTGAGGGGCAAACTTGCAAAGTATTTGGATGCTTTCCTCCCAGAGCAGAGGTGCTTTAGGTACTCCCCGGGGGATGAGGCACCTAAAGTCCAATGTCTCTAAAATCTGTGTGCACAAGGAGACCTTTAGTGCCGACCAAGGGGTCTAAGCCATGCTTGCAAAGGGGACTTGGGAGTTTATGCAACACTTATCCCTCGCTGTTCACGGGGCTTAACGTGAGATGAGGAAGGTATCCCTACTGCTAGCAACCCCATGCAACGGGGACCATCTCCCTGCGCCAGCCAGCTCTGGAGATGGGCAGTGGTGGATGGACCAGGGGGGCTGTTCTGACATGGCTGCTCCCTGGCTTCGCACCACCCCAAATTACCCCGTCAGCTGCAGGGAGAAGGTGGCAATTAGCCTCCTGGACACTCCTGCAAAGCAGCTATTTTGCTTCCTTTTAAAGTGCAGCACAGCTTGACCCACCCGCCAGGTGTGCGCGAGTGATGGGGAGTGACCATGGCACTGCAGTCCTCTTTAGCATGCCTTCGGTGACCCAGCACCAGGCAGGATGGAGCCCAAGCCCTCCTATGGCCAAACACAGCCTCTGTAGGTGCATTGGAGAGCCCAGCAAGCGGCAAGGGCCTGGTGCAGTGTCCTGCTTTGCAAAGGGACCTGCAAGGACACCGATCCCTGCCTGTGGTGTGTGTGTGGTTTCCCACTCCCCGGACCCTCTGCTGCAAGGCTTTTCCTCTGCTCCTTGCTCAGCAGCACCCCATTGAATCTCTGGGGAAATCGCTTCTCTCTCCAGCCCCAAACCAGGGGGGACATCCAGTTATCCCCCAAAAGCAAAACGCTCCCTGTCCTCTCCCTCAGCCGCACCCACCACCTGGGGTCCTCCCTGAAATCAGCAGGGAGAAATGCCTCCACCCAGCTGGTGTAAATCAGCAAGGAAGGGGATGAGGAAAGAGCCTCAGCTGGTTCTGTGCGGGGCTGTGCCGGGTAAACAGGGTTAGGATTTGGCCCTCACTCCAGCACGGGCTTTCTGTGCTCCTGGATGGCTCTGAATGGGCCTCTAACAGTCTCCTTTGCTTCTGGCTTTCTGGGAACAGGCTGTGATGGATTCCCCTGGATGTCTAGGACAGCCCGGGGCACAGCGCCGACCGACACCAGGCCCCCTGCTCCGCTCTGAGGATGCCCGTGGGCCGGGAGCTGCCTTCCAGCAAGCTGCACCCTGAATGCCAGCCCCAGCTGGCGCCCTCGCCCATGGACCCGGTTGGCACTGCTTAACACCCTGACCCATATCCCCTGCCTGGACCGCCCCAGCGCTTTCTCTGGCAAAGCCTTTGCAGATGCAAGCTGCCCGGCCGGGGCGTCGTGCCTGGGAGAAGAGCATGGGGAACATGGCTCGGGTCGCCGGGGCATCCCCAGCTGTGGGGAACGCGGTGGTGTGGTGCCTGGCCGTGCTCCAGTCAGGTAAGCGGCTTCTCGTCCAACGTCTCCAAAGTCTAGTGACTTTCCCACCAAAAGCCAGGGGCCGTCCTCGGTAATTCACTCCGTGCCTCCGATCCTGCCTTCCCTTACGTGCCTTCCCACCGCGGCTGCTGGCAGGGCTCGAACCCAGCACTGTCCAGGGTCAGAGCAAAAGCATCTACTGCTTGAGTCCAAGGGGGAGCTCCTTCAGCTAGCAGCAGTAGTAAGCTATTGACATACCTGTCACTGCAAGGTGACATATCCATGCACGCGTCCTAGTCGGTCCTCCCAAGATGGGCTGGTGGAGGGGGTGTCTTGATGGTGTCCCCTGTCTTGTCTAGCCGGGGGCAAAGGCTGCAAAGGCTTTGCCAGAGAGAGCTCTTTGATAGCATCCAGGGATCAACTGCAGATTGCACCACCGTGTGTTCCTGTTTCTGGGCCCTGACAACACACCAGCCCTGTGCAGCACACACATGTCCAACGCCTTGCATCTGCTTTCTTCTCCACGCCTGGTTTCTTTGGATGCTTCCATCCAGTTTGAGCTGGGATGGCTGAGGATGTGGGCTGGAGCAGGGGAGGATGCAAGTGGAGGGATGACTGTCTGGGTACCAGCTGTCAGGCCCGTATGGGAGCTGGGGCACTTGAGCCCAGGGGGGTGGAAACAGCTGAAACATGGCACTTACAGACCCTTGGGGAAGGGACGCTGGGTGCTCGATGGCAGAAGAGCATTGGTGTGGAGCATCGTGTCCAGCTTAGGGTGCTGCACTTCCAAAGATCACAGAAAAATAGAAAATGAGTGTTGAAGGGACCTCAGGAGGTCACGTCTCATCCAACCCCTGCTCCAAGCAGGACCACCCCCAACTACATCATCCCAGCCACGGCTTTGTCTACCCGGGGCTTCAACACCTCCAAGGATGGAGACTCCCCCACCTCTCTGGGGAGCCTGTTCCAGTGCTTCACCACACTCCTGGTGAGAAAGCTTTTCCTAATATCCTCCCCTGCTGCAACATGAGCCCATTGCTCCTTGTTCATCATCTGCCCCCACTGAGAACAGCCCAGCTTCATCCTCTTTGGAGCCCCCCTGCCGGGAGGTGAAGCTTGACATTTAATCACCTCTCTAGACCGTGCATCACTTGGAGAATCCAGAAGAGAGCATCAAAAAATGGTGCAAGGTCTGAGGCAGAAAAGAGGAAGAACTGGGATCGTGTCCGGAGCAGAGAAGACCAACAGGGGGTTTGATCACAGCCTGCAAATACCGGCAGGGCGGTTATCCAGCGGACAGAGGTAGACTTGTGTCTGTGGCTGTAGAGGACAGGACTAAGAGCAACAGCCTCAAGCGAAATGGAGGTCGGAGATGAGGAGGGATTTGCTGGCTCTGAGGCTGCCCGGAGACGTGGCGGGATCTCCCTTGCTGGAAGTCTAAGAGCAGGGCAGAGAGACACGGGGTTGCACTGGGTCACACAGAGACAGCCCTGCCTGGGGCAGGGGCTTGAGCTAGATGGACACCCGAGGAGCATCATTTTGCTGTGAGTCCCTGACATGAGGGTGACCGTAGCCATGCGCAGGGCTGAGCCCAGCAGAAGACAAGCACCACAGTGGCATCGGACCCTGGTTTCTGGGACCAACAGCTTCCCTGCTTGGTAGGAAGATGGAGAGAGAAAGGAGCCAGTTACCCTCCAGCTAGGCCTGAGCTGGAGCCCATGGCATCTTCCCTTGGCACCCTTGCTCCCATGGGCGATTGCTGCGGTGAGAGAAATGCAGGGCAGGGGTCCCTTGCATTGCTTCCCACCTTTCTGCTCCTTCTTTTTCAAAATTTCCAGAGGTAAAAGTGGGGGCAATGCTGGATTTTTTTTTGAGGGGGACCTCCTCCCTCCAGCCAGGGGCTGGGCAGTGATTGCCTAGCCTGTCTCCATGAGGAGCAGCCCAGGACCCAGCCCACCTATTCCCCCTAGGTTGCTGATTTCTGCCCTGCTGCTGCTCCATGAGACACATGATTTGCACTCAGGGCATGAGATCCTTGGATTTTTGGTGCAATCTGAGCCTGGAGCAGGGGGTATCAATTTGGGAGAAGATCCCTGGTGCTTGCTTTAGGGGTTGGCAGTGAATGAGTGGGGTAAGGGGTGCAGATTCCTCTTCCCCATGTCCCCTAGGAGAGCAAAGCCTGATTAATGCTGTGTTCGCAGCCCCGGAAAGCAGAGGGGAGCAGCACTGGGGTCGCGCGGTGAGTCCGAGGCCGAGCTGAAGGCAGAGCCCAGGTGTCCAGGGGGTTTGAGACCTGCTCACTGGGGCTCAGCGTGATGCCAGCCACCTTCCTCCCTCGTGCTAGCAGGGCTTGAACCCGGCACCTCCCAGGGCCCAAGGGGACTTGAGCCCATGGGGGAGCTGCTTCAGGTAGCAGCTGTAGTGAGCTATGGCTATACCAGCCTCTAGAAGGTGACAGATCCATGCACACATCCTAGTCTGTCCTCCCAAAGCATCCCCCAGCAGCTTGGCAAACTCTTCCAAAGCTAAGCTGTATGCACAAGGGACCTTGCACCCACGGGTGAAATGCAGCCACCTCTGGGGAGGAAAGAGGCACCTGCTTAAGCACTTTCGAAGGCGGAGGAATATAGAAACCGGTGAAGCCTGCAGAGAGAGGCCCAGGTGTGGTCCTGCCCCGGAGAATGACTTGTGCCCGTGTCTGTCCATCATCTCCATCGCAGCTGTCCTGGGTGAGCAAGCAAAGCCCCTGAGAGCTGAATCAGGTTGTCAGCCAGCGTACCTCCCCCACGCCAGACCTTTGGGCTGCAAGGTGCAGGGGACTAAGTCTGAGTTGAAAAAAACTTGAGGATCCGTGTTTTACCTCGTCCAAGAGGAATCACAGCTTTCCTTTTATTTTTCCTTCTTAGAAAGACAAATCCCTGCCTCTCTCCCCTTGTACAGAAAGAGCCCGAAGGCCGTAACAGGTTCACAAGATGAATAGCCCAGATCCCAAATTGACTGCGTGTGAAAACATCTCATGATTTTTTTAAGGCAGGGTCATGTTTCATTTATTCTTTTTTTCTTTTTAAAAGCCCGTGATTTCTGGAGGCTGAGGGCTAGCAGGGCTCCCGCCGGTGTGCTGTGAAGTTGCTCGGATACAGATTTCATTGCAAGTGCCTCCATCTCTACTTCCTCCCAGTCAGAGCAGGAAATTCCTCCCAGTTTGGAGCTGTCTCCCAGTCTGGGCTACCATGATGGCAAGCAACATGGCTAGGGTGCATGTGTCCCCAAACACTCAGCCCCTTGCATTGGACCGTGCCTGTTTGCTGCGTAGCGTGATGGGGCCGGTGTGACGTGTCAGCGCGGTCGGCTTGGCGCTCCTGGCTATGCCGTCAGCTGCCGCAGGGGTTTCTTTAGGAGCATGCAACTGGACAGGAGCTCCTGGGTCCGCGTGTCGTGAGCAGGCCTGTCAGATAATTTTGCACACACGTCCTTCCCGCTCCATCAGAGCCAACTAGGTTGCTTGCGACCACTGCTCCTGCTGGCTGGAGATCACCTTCTCCCTTCCAGACTCATTGAATCACAGACAATGAGGGATGAAGGGAGCTCAGGAGGTCACATCTAGCCCAGCCCCCTGCTCCAAGCAGGACCAGCCCCAACTACAGCATCCCAGACACAGCTTTGTCTACCCAGGTCTTTAAGGATGGAGACTCCACAACTCTCTGGGTACCCTGTTTCAGTGCTTCACCACCCTCTTAGTGCAAAAGTTTTTCCTAATATCCAACCTCAGCCTCCCTTACCGCAGCCTGAGCCCACTGCTCCTTGTTCATCATCTGCCCCACTGAGAACAGCCCGGCTCCATCCTCTTTGCAACCCCTTGCAGCTCATCCGTGGCCAATTCAGAGCACTGACACATGCAACCTACTCCTCACACGTTCCACTGAGCTGTCCGCCCCGTCGTGCCTCTCTCTCTTCCCTCAGCCACCCATTTCCACACTGGTTTCCCTCCCCACCCTTTAGGCACTGGTCCAGCCGATTGCTACTGGGCCTTGATGCCAGGAGCTGGTAGCAAGGAAATGGGCTGTGTGGGGGAAGCAGCGAATGGAGGGGTTTAGCAGTGCATCTTAGCCAACACCTCAGGGACTGAACCGTGCCATGGAGAGCCATCACTACATGAACCCAGGAGCTGGACGAGGCCCGCAGCAGAGGGGGTGCCATGCATTTGCAGTGGGTGGAAGTGAAGCATGGATCCTGCGGGTCAGGAGCTCCCCATGACAGTCGCAACATGCCTAAGAGCAGTTGCTCTCCAAGCTTTTAGCCCTGAGGGCTAATGCAATGGCTTTTCCCAGCCAAATGGGCCATGCAGGTATGGCAGGTATGGCGTAAGTCTCAGCGAGGGGCTGGGCATGAATCCCCCCACCGACACGAGGATGGATGGACAGCGGCAGGGGGAGTTGAAATCCTTCCCTCTCCTCCAGGCGACTGACCAAGCAGCCGCAGCACTTGATCTCTCCTGACATGCATCTCCCCTCCCACGCGGAGGCTGGGGCCCAGACGGCCACATCACGCCCCAGCACACGTGCGCACGGCGGCCCATCAGATGCAATGAGATCAAGCGTGCCCGGCTGCCCGGCTTGGAGCAGGCTGCTTGGCACGGCCGAGGAGGGATCTGCTCGCAGATGCCCGGCTGTTGCATGAAGGAGCTGTGAGCGGGGGAAAGGGCAAACTCCTTAGGACAGGGGATGATTTTTTCAGGTCACTTGGATGCCTTTTGGCATGCATCGAGCAGCAATTCTGCTCCACCGTGAATTGGGGGCCCTACAGCCTGATTGCCCGGAGATTTGGGGCATCCAATTCAAGAGGTTCACCTTGTTGGATGGAAGGGCGGGGTGTGCTCAGCACTGGGCCTGAGAGGGGCATGGGGAAGGAAACCCCCCCAGTCCATACCAGTCTGCCCATGAGGATCAAATCCCTTCCTGACCCCAAATGCAGCTTCGGTCTGACCCTGAGTGCAGGGGCTTTGCATGACATACACCCCCCAACCCCTGGCCCAGGGGTCTGGCACCTGCTGCCGACATAGCCCCCTGCTCCTCTCCCCCCTCTGCCCCGTCCCCAGGTCTCCAGAGAGGTCCTGAGGCCACGGAGACAGGCTGAAGCCCATCCCTGCCGTGGTTTTGGGGTCCGGTCCATGGGGACACTGCTCAAACAAGAAGCATCTACCTGCGTCCCGCTGGGGCCTCAGGGGCCTTGGCATGTCCCTGTGCCGTGGGCGCTGTGGCTCAGCCCTGTGGCCGTTGTGTCCCTCTCCGCAGCGCTGTCCCAGCCGGTGCAGACGCACAGCCACGCCGAGGAGCGCCTCTTCAAGTACCTCTTCAGCAGCTACAACCGCTGGTCGCGGCCCGTCCCCAACATCTCTGACGTGGTCATCGTGCACTTCGGGCTGTCCATCGCCCAGCTGATCGACGTGGTATGTACGTGGTGCCGGGCTCCGACTCCCCTCCCGCAGCCTCCGGTGAAGGCTCAGAGGCTGCTAATGCAATAGCCAGGCGAGGCCGAGCCCAGCCCCATGCTTCAGGGCACATGTGGCGGGGGTCAGGAAGAAAATCCTCTCTCCGCCAGGGTGACGAGGACGGTCTTCAATGGCTCTGCCACTGATTGACTGTGTGGCCTTGGGTGAGTCCCTTATCCTTGAACCTGCAGCCGCTAACGTGATGCAAACATTTAGCATCCAAAGGGACAGCAATACATTTCTGTCTCCGTTCGTTGTTTGTAGCCCAGGATCAGGCAAGAAGCAGAGACAGAAATGTGAGAAATACCAGGCGCTGCATCTGGGGAAGAGCTACCGAGCGCATGCACGCAGGATGGGGATAAGTGGCCGGGCAGTGACGCTGTGGGGGTGGAGGTGGGGGGTTTCGGTGGAGCACGGACTCCATGCAAGTCAGCAGCCCAGCATGGAGCTGCATCTCCTGTCTGCTAGGGCAGACGGTCCCTACCCGGTACTGTTGCAAAAACAAACAAAAAAACGCACGTGCAATTATGGGTTGAATGAACAGGAGCATCGAATGCAAGACGTGGGGGGTGCAGGTACCGCTCTACCCCGAGCTGCAATCTGGGGTGCATTTGCGGACTCTGCCTTTTCGTAGGGATGTCGAGAAACTGGAGAGGATCTCGAGGGGAGCAGCGAGGATGACACGGGCTGGGATGCAAACGTGCGAGGAAAGACTGAGACAGGGAGGTGGGTTTAGGCTGCACAGGAGATTCAGAGGCAGCTGTTTTCCCTGGACAAGCAGGACCCAATGGGTTCATACTGCAGCAGGGAAGACTGAGAGCTCCCTAATGGTCAGAGCGGCAGGACGGTGGCACCAGCTGCCCAGGGGAGTGGTGAAGTCTCCATCCCTGGAGGTTTCCAAGCAGGGCTGGGGTTTCCAGTCCATCAGGGCTGGGGTAGAGGGAGCAGACCCTTCCTAACCCTGCAGGTCTGGGATGCATTAAGAGCAAAGCCATTGCTGGAGACCCCAAACGAAAGCCAAGGGCCCGCCGAGCCGTTCACAGCAACGACTCCTCCAGCAGCTCAAGACAGACGCTCGTGGCCGGGGAGTGCAGCACTCCAGTAAATCTCAGCTGACACCCCATCCAGCAAGAGAAAGACCTTCAGCGCCCAGCAGCTAACAAAAAGGGACAGCGTGGCATCTGCAGAAAGGGCTGGAGTGCAGGGCACTGCATGTGAGCTCCTGGTGTTAGCTCTCCCCAAACTGACCGCTGCGAGCCTTGTAAATCAGGGGTGCTGATCAAACTGGGGGCAACTAATGCCACAGCCCTAAGCTGGAGGGTATGGCTTGCTAGTCTGTCTGGGCTGCGGGGCCAAAAGGGACGAGCTTCTGTTCTTTGCAAGGCTCCTAATAGGCAATTTTAGGGCTGTATTTAGAAACCTGATAGGATTAAATGAGTGTCTGGAAGGGAGCTCCCAAGGTCCCATCTCGTCCAGCCCCTGCCTGAGGCAGGATCAGCCCTGTCCAAGCCAGCCCAGACGCATCCATCACCTAAACCCTTAGTAAAACTACCGTCAACTCTTACATCACACCTGACCCTGCCACGGGGAAAGCAGGGGGACCGCGGCAGCCAACATCCTGCTGCTGCAAAGGTTGTTCATATAAGCTCGAGAGATGCCAGGAAGAGGCCGTGCCCCCACTACAGACCAGTCTGTACCAATATGACCAGGGGAAAAATCCCTGTCCCCCAAAAGGGCATCGGTCTGATGCTGAGTGGAGGGGCAAGATGCTCTAGTCAGGACCCTCTGGGTTTGAATCCCAGCAGGAGCATTGGCACAGCCCAGTCCCCATCCTTGAAATAAGCAGTAACATCCATGAAAGGACCTGGGGCTGGATCCTACCCCAGCCGAGTCTGCATGCACACATGGGTCAGACGTCCTCCTCCTCCTTGCTGGTCTTGAAGGTCGTAGTGGCAGCATGTTACCGAAGCGAGTGCATTTGTGGATTTGCAAGTACTGAAAAGAGATAAATTAGGATCCACCTGAGCCCACTTGGGCATCTCATAGGCGAGACATGGGCTGGGCGCTTTCTGGTTCAGTTAATGGGGTGCAACTGGGTGCTGGCTGCAGCCCAGGCTGGGGATGGGACTTAGAAAACTCAGGAGTTTCTAGTTAGAGGGTCTTGCCTCTCTGCTCAGGGTCAGACTGATGCTGCATTGGGGGTCAGGAAGGGATTTTATCCCCGTGGTCAGACTAGTACTGTCTCGGAGGGGGTTGCCTTCCTGTGTAGCCGGAGCATGGCCTCGACCTGGTATCTCTCGAGTGCATTTTAGCACCCACCATAGCAGCAGGACACTGCCAGGCTTTGCCCCTCTGCTTTACCTGGGGCAGGTTTGGGTGTCTCTGGGCAACGCACCTGGTAGCTCTGCAGCGTCCCATGGCAGGACACAGGATGTGGTCGTCCCCCTACTGTTGAGGCAAGTGAGGTTGTGCTGGATGTGATTTTACAGGGCGGACAGTGCTAAGTGATGCCAGGCAGGTGAGTGATTTGTGCAGCCAGGCAGGCCCTGTTACAGTGTAAGCAACCGGGCCGACCCTGGGACCGGCAGCGCGGGCCACAGCGACGCGACCTGGGTGCTGAGCTTCTGCGTGAAGTGGGGAGCGCTGTGAAGGTGCAGGCGAGGGCGGACAGGTGTCAGGCTGAGCTTCCTTCAGCAGCATTGCGCCCATCTCTCAGAAGGGACTGGGGTTTTTAACCCCCTCGTGCTCAGCACGGCTGGTTACGGATGCCCCGGCCGGGGGTGCCCTGGGGGCCCTGACCCTGCACAGCTGCACCTGGCAGAAGTTAAGCACGAGCATAAGTATCTGCAGGAAGGGGCTGGTCCCTGAGCCGGAGCTGGGCACATTGGCCGTGTGACCCAGCCAAGCAGCCATCAGCCGGTCATTGTTGTTACCCAACAGGTTTGAGAGTCTTTTCATTTGCTACAAGCACCAGACTTGATGGATCAGGAATAGCCCGCCTGCCTGCACATCTATCCTTACACATATCCTCCATCCATCCATCCATCCATCTGTCTAGCTGTCTATCTATTTGTCCTTATACAAACTCTTCATCCATCCATCTATCTTTAAAATTAACCTCATCTATCTATCTATCTATCTATCCTTATACATATCCTCCCTCCCTCCCTCCCTCCCTCCATCCATCCATCTATCTGTCTATCTATTTGTTCTTATACAAACTCTTCATCCATCCATCTATCTTTAAAATTAACCTCATCTATCTATCTATCTATCTATCCTTATACATAGCCTCCATCCATTTGCCTATCCACTTATCCTATATCTATCCATCTAGCCTAAAATTATTCTTCTTCTCTTTCTCTCTTTCTTTCCTTCCTTCCCTTCCTGCCTGCCCATGCACACTAGTGTTAATGATGCCAGTCCCAGCCCGCTGTGGCCCAGAGGCGAAGGTGGCTGGTGTAGAGAGGGTGGCATCTCAGCCCCTCACTGAACAGGCCCCATGAAAGCTCCTGGTTTCACCTCTGAGGCTGGTACCCTTCGAGCTAACCCCACTCTCTGTCTCCTGTGCCCTAGGACGAGAAGAACCAGATGATGACCACGAACGTGTGGCTGAAACAGGTGAGGCCCATTTCCTGGGGGGGCACAGAGGGGATGGGTGCATGTCCTGGGTGACAAGGGGATCTCCGGAGGCTTTGAGAAGTAGGCTGTAGGCTGCACCCCGTGGGGCTGGGAGACTCACAAAAGCAACCTTGGCAGCTGGTTTTCAGCCTTGGCCCACTTTGTCTGGACTAAAGCCAGTCAGAAAGACCTGGTCACGGTTCCTGGCAGCTTTCCCCTTGTGGGAACAGCTCTGCTCCAGCCTGGGCGAGGGGCTGAAGGCTGCCTGCATCCCGGCCCCTCTCCCCACTGCAGCCTTTGGCAGGGGCTGAGCCACCCGCCAGCAAACCAGCCTGAGACCCCCTTTCTGTGTGCCCGCCGCCAGGAGTGGAGCGACTACAAGCTGCGCTGGAACCCGGACGACTTCGACAACGTCACCTCCATCCGCGTGCCCTCGGAGATGATCTGGATCCCGGACATCGTGCTGTACAACAAGTAGGCAGTGCCCGGCTCGTGGCAACAGGGCAGGGAGGTGCAATTCCCGATGCAATCCCGAGAGCCTGGCCCTGCTTTCCATTGCCAACCAGGAGCAACCCCAGGAAAGCCAACGGGGCTGCCATTGCCTCACTGTCCCCTTGTATTTCCCGACCCTCCTATAACCCGTATTAACTTCTAAGCTCTTTAAAATGGGGATCATCTCTGGTCTGGGTTTGTACAGCGCCTTGCACACCGGGGTGCTGGTCTCTGCCTGCGACTCCAGTGACGCTGTATTTTCTCACATACAACATGCAAACTTTTCCCCCAAGCCGCTGGAAACTGGAGAGCGTTTTTTACGTGAGGAAATACCATGATCACCTGCTGCTTCTGCTGCAGCTTGCCTTGGGGAAAAGCCCGGCTTAGCAGCATTTTAAAGGAAAGATTGGGGTGCTTTTTTTTACAGCTTCTTCATTCTGCTCATCTAAAGCAAAGTGCATGTCTATCTGTCTATTTATCTATCCTTATACAAACCCTTCATCCACTCATCTATCCTTAAAATTAGCCTCTATCTATCTATCTATCTGTCTATCTAGGGGTGTGTTGCATGCAAAGAAAAACAGTGCATGTAATAAAAAGCTGGCAGACTTCATCCAACTCAGCACAGGCAGGGTCAGGGCAGACACAGCCTCAGAGGCTGCCCCCCCCTCGTCTTAAATTTGGGTGTTGCTGCCACCTCGCGGCCACTGGCCGTGACTGCAGAGCATGTCCCACGGGCCTGGAAGCAGGGGGGCGACTCCTTCCAAGTGCCCTCCAGCTTTGCAAAGTTGCCCGGGGACCCTGTGTCGGAGCCCCGTACCGCTTAGGGACCGTCCGCCCTAGCCGACAGGAGATGCACCTCCACGCTGGGTCCAGGCCATGCCTTTGCCCTACTGTGTAGCATGGTTCTCCCTTGCTGTCTGGCAGAAACCCAGCTGGGCTGTGTTGCAGACGTGGCTTAAGAAGCCAGGAATGGAGTTCCCAAGGGATTTAGGTGCCTGTCACCCCGTGGTTGCACCCCCTTTTGCCACCCTGAGCCTTGCTGGTGTCCTCTGAAGCACTAGGTGTTGGCCACAGCTAAGGTCGGGGGGTTGGCTGGGGTACCCTGATGCTCCTGCTGGCATCTCTCCAACCCAGAAAGGCCTGGCTGGGGGGGTAGGTTTAATTCCTGCATTTGGGGTCAGATCCATCACCCGGCAGAGGTCAAGAAGGAGTTTTTTGCCCCAGGTCTGGATTGTGGGGTCCAGACTATAATGTCCTTTTCCTCCGGTCCTCTGAGCATTTATGAATGGACTCCTCTCTTGCATTCACCTATGGTGGGCTGTAGGATGGGGTTGGGGTGTCTGGGGTTGCAAGGGTGACTGGTCCCTAGGGTCAAGTGGGTTCCTGTGACTCTACGGCCAAGCAGGCCCCGTCCAGCCCTACA